ATCCTCTCCTCTCTCCCACCTGTGCACCAGCAGTGGTCCTGTTGCTGCTGCCAGAAATTGCTGCCGGGAAAAGCAGCAACAACCCTGTCTCTCCAGAGTATGTCAAGTCTTCTCCTTTGACCAAGCCAGCTCAGAGCTTGACTTGCATCCACAAGTGCAAAGATGCTGTCTGCCCCATGGGCTAGGACAAACTTGTCCAAGGAAAAACATGAGAAAGGAGTGTGAGGGTTCTCCAGGGAGGCCTGGGATCATGGGTGGAGCGTGATTTTTCAACTGATCAGAAAGGAAGCTTTGGGTCTTTAGACCTTAGTGTAGTAAGGTCTAGTGCAGTAGTAGTTTTCCATGCAAAGCTGTAGTCATTTGATTGCTTTCCCATTTGATGTGTTGGGGTGATGCATAGAGGGTGGAGCAGGACTCTAAGAAGAGATGCATGATGATAGGACAGGAAGCAATGGATGCAAGCTGGAACATGAGAAATTTGTATTAGACATTAGGAATTTTTTCTACCATGAGGGTGGTTAAATACCGGAATACATTGCCAAGACAAATTGTGAAACCTCTGTCTTCAGAGCTGTTCAGGTCTCAGCTGGACATGGCCTTGAGCAACCTGGTTTAATTAGACCTGTTTCGAACAAGGCAGTCAGACTAGATGACCTGTGGAGGTCCTCTCCATCCGCAGTTATAAGTGATTCCACTATTCTGTGGTAACACAGTCACTAAAGCTGCTGCACTTCATCTTCCTTTCCTTTTTTCAATAGCCTGAAATGTCACACAATGACAGCGCATCATTAAGTCCCATACAGAGCCATGTGCTCCTGACCCAGCACCAGCTCTGCACAAGCATCAGTGTGGCTCCACTGTGCTGCTGTAGAGCAATACAAGGTCCAGGCTTCTTGCCCAGCACCATCATGAAGGAGGCCCTCATATCTGGACTTGTTCCCTCAAATACCATAATTTCAGGTGGTGTTCATGCCCATGCTCATTTCTAATAACGGCGGTCCATAGCCCTCTCATCCCTAATCTCTCTCTGTTGTTGCTTATACTCCTCTTGCAAGCTCCACTCTCCCAGGGTTGCAAATACTCCTCAGGTCAAGGTGGTATTAACTTGCAACTAGCTGCTCACCAATGAGCTTTGGATGCTCTTGGAAAAACATTTGCTTTGAATCTGGAAAACCTGATGGCCCTTCTCTGTCTCTCTCCTATCCTCTGCCCTATTCTTTGGGGTTGGTTTTTTTGCTGCTTAGCTGATAGCTGTGCCTTCATGTGTCCTTCTGGCCTTCCTTGTGTTTGTGTGTTAGCTTGCAGTGCCCACCCTGCTGTAAATACCATCTAGTTTGGAATACTCTGGTCTTGTAGGCGTTGAGAAGCTATTTGGGGAGCAGAGGAGAGGGCTGTCACTTAGGCTGTTTGTGGAGACCAAAGGCTGCTCTGCCTTCCCCCTGGGAAAATCACAGAAGCTCTGAAGAAGAGGGAGATCATGACCTTGGCAGTAAGTGACAGGCGAAGACGCCAGTTACATGCTCCTTGTTTAAGATAAGGATGCCAGTGGGAAATGTGGATTGAGGGGAATTGGAGTTGTCCATTCTAGAGCTGTTTTGGTCTTGGTCATATCTTTGGGGATGCCAGCGGGAGGATATTTGTGCTTTCCATGCTGTCGTGGGTGAAATGGGGATCCTTTCCTCTCCTTCTCCATCCATCTGAGCATCTCTCAGTGCTGGAATGGCTCCCCCTACCCCTGACACAGCCCTGAACCATCCAAATCTCTCAATGGAGGGAATTACAGTTATTTATAATTAAGGGTTGACAAAAAATGTTGCTAGTGTCAAGGGAATGGCAGGCGACGGCCAGAAAAACATCATGTCTCCAGAAGAGGGGCAGCAGGAATATCCCTCTGAATAGGGCTGACGTCAGCTCTCGGAATTTGGAGAGCCTGGAAGGTTTGGGGCTATTTTTCCAAGATATCATAGGTCAGGAATCAATGTTATTTTTAAGCCTGTGTCCCCCGAGCAGCTCTGGTGTATGAAGGAGACTTTCTCTCCCCCTTCCCCCTCCTTTATGCTCTATTTCTATGAAATTTTTGCTTCTTTTCTTCCGAGTCATGCCACAAATATGTCCTTCAGGTTTGTTTATTCTTCTCCCTATCTATTCCTCCCAGCCTGCTCCTGTCTTGGTTGGGTTGAAGGGATGGCGTCAGCGTGGCGCGTGTCTGGGATGCTCAGGCGAGACATCACAGAGGAGAGATCATGTTCTCCTAATTTGCCATTTCCGGTTGGGAGAGTTTTCTCTCCACAAGCTGATGTGGCTGGGGAAAGTGTTCTGGGAATGCTGCTTTGTGGTGGGAGATCTCGGGGCCTGGTGAAGACAAGCTGGTCATCTCATCTCACCATTAAATGCTGCCATATAGTCCAGCCAAGATTTTCTAAAGTGACTGAAGTTTCAGAGCTGCTTTGTTGTTGGGAAGGTGGGTGAGATGTCTCCAGCCCAGGATGGCCTATTGGGGCTGACTGATAGGGGAGAGGTAGTTAGCAGATCCTGATTATTTGACACTTACTGAGTCAGCAATGGCTTCTGAAAGTCTGTGCTATTTTAGGTCCAGGGAAGTGGCCACCCTTGGGTTTACTGAGCTCTTCTCCACAAGCCATCCTGCTCTAGTCTACTTCTGGAATTCTCTTCCTCTATTTTTCCATTTTTCCTCCTTCTCTTCCATTTGCTGTAGCAACCTTTCTCTTTCTAAACAAGTCTGTGGGTATAATAAGTTGACTAGGGATCTTGCCATCTCAAACAGTGTATTTGCACATCTCTTGTTGGTTTCCCTTCTCAATTCACATTTCAGATAAGAACATGCCTTTTTCCCCTTAGCCCATGCTCAGCTTTTTTGCTTCCTTCCTTCCATAATTCAATGTGGTGGGGAATGCACTAATGGACCCCACTTTTACAGAAGCTATTCATTCAAATATAGCTGCTATGCCTTCATGGCTAGTCCAGTGTAAAGAAATGATCGCATTCCCTTCATAATCTCTCTGTGCAGCTCAAAGATGCCAATTGCTCCTGGAAGCATGGGAACAAGCGAAATGCTTTCCACCACCTTAATGTTGCTGTTGGCCTTATGCTGCAAGTTTAGTCATTCTTATGACATATTTCCACAATGGTGCATTTCCATCATCATTCCACAGTGATGTATTTGAAGCCTTTCCATGAGTTTTTTTCCCTGCTTAGAATCTCTTAAATTAATGGCTTCGCAAACTGCGAGTCAGGGTCCTCAGATTTTGAAGACTTAGAGACGGGTCTTAGAGGCTTAGAGACGATGTCTTCTATGGCTACCTGTCTCACCCCATGACGTTAATGGCACTGATGGTGGAAATGGTAGTAATTGATTTAAAAGAGTATCTGGCATTCGCAGCACAGCCCAAGTCCCTACAATTCCACTGCTGCTATTATTGGAATTATTATTGTTATTACTAAGTTAGATCCTGATCATTTTACATAGCTGAGGACATCAACTCCCTAAAGATCAACACTGGGACTGATGGTGTACTGGCGAATGCAATATAGACCTCTGACCTGTGCAGAAACAACCATGCAGAGGGGAGAGTGAAACCTAAATTTCCTGACTGCTGTTTTTTTTTTCTCCAAGTGCTGAGAGACATGCCATGTTGTGAGGATCTTTTTGTGGACACCCAGACATACCCACGGGTGTTAGTGCTCTGCTGCAATGCCTGTTGCCTACCTACCTCTCCCAGCCCATTACTTTCCCATGCCCTTTAGAAATGGATGTCTTTGACATACCTATTCTAGTATTTTTTCTGTTCCTGCAACTCTTTATTCCCAGCTCTGAAAATGGGAGGAGAGACAGCCAGCAGTGTTGTCAGGAGGCTTTCCCCCCTAAACATGCCCTTTGGTGGATCTGTCTCCCAAGATGTCTCTCCCTCCCCATTAAGCTTATTTTGGGAGCTCCTGTGCTTCCCTGGCCTGGCTTCTGCAGACATCCCATACCTTGTCTCAGAAAGGATTCAGATCATGTGTAGAGAGACAGATTCATGTGAAGTGGGCCTTGCTGTTGACTCGGTGCTGGGGGGGACCCAGACAGCCCTCTTCTCCAAGGTCTGTTTTGGGCAGAGCTGGGAGAGAGATTTCTTGGAGCAAATTCTGAGATACCTTTTTCTCATGCTCTTCCTTATCCAATACACAGGAATGGGGGTGAGGTAGCATGTTTCTTGACGTGTTATGTGCCTGTGCTCTGCAGGGGATCCCTTGTTTTTACCATGCACTGCCACGTCTGGCATACTTGTTGTCCTGGGGAAAAGGATAGAGTGGAGGGCCATGGTCATGAGCTTCTCCAGACAGACTAGAGGTGCTGGAGAAGAGACTTCTTGGCCCCAGCTGACAAACCCTCTCTGCTCCCAAGAATAAGGTTTGATGTCCATCCCTGACCTGTATCAGGGACAACCCCTGAAAACTTTTATTGGAACCAGCTGGAGCTCTGTATTCCTTTCTCTTTCCTCACACCTTGAGGAAAACTCACTCCCTCCTGCCTTCAGATTCCATTTTTCTGATGCCAAACGCCTTCTCTTTTCCCTAGCAGGACTGACCTCTGTCTCCTTTCTTCTCTCATTGTTTCTCCTCCCATTTTTTCTTCTTTTATACTATTCTTTGGGTCTCTTCTCTCCCTGTTGTTGGAAAACCTTCTCTAAGAATAGAACTCATCAACAAAGCTGCTGTAACTAGCAAAACTTCTTCAGATTTGCATGACCGTCTCCCACACAAACCTCTCACTAGCAGAACTTGCACCTTACAGAGCAGAATGAGTAGTGTCATGGGACATCCTGTTGAAACTTGCTGAATTTTGCCATGCTTTACCAAATGCTGTTTGTTTCAGAGACTTGAGGATGGGGTTTCCAGGTCTGCTGTACCCTTTCCAGGATATCTACGGGTGGCTCCTCCTTTTCCTTTTTGCCCCATTGAGGTTGATGCTGACTATGTCCTCTCCCTTGACCTTGCAGGGCATACATGAGCGTGAAGGAGCTGAAGGAGGCACTGCAGCTGAACAGCACCCACTTTCTCAACGTTTATTTTGCCAGTTCGGTGAGGGAAGAGTTGGCTGGTGCTGCCACTTGGCCGTGGGATAAAGAAGCCCTTACTCACCTGGGTAAGTAAGCTACCCCATTCCTGGGGTCTCAAGGTCGTTGGTTTTCCTCTCTCTTGGTTGACTTGGCAAAAAGAGGCAGCCATGATTTGGCTTAGCATTGAGGATGTTAATAAGAAGGTCATGATAACAGGCTTTGGGTGTACCAATAGCTACTGCTGTGGGAAGGAAGGGCGCTGCCTGTTCACCGTGTCCATGTGGATAAGGTGGTGGGGTTACATCCTGACAAGGGAATTCCAGGTTGTGATGAGAAACTTTTAATGGTGAAGACAGCGAGACAGTGGGACAGAGAGCTTGGGGAAGGAGAGCTGCAGATTCACCATCAGTGCAGGCTCTGGAGAGGGGTTTAGACTCGCATTTGGCTTCTCTGGGACTTTCCAGGTCTATCTTCCAGGATTCTGGAAACGGTGAACTTCACTTTGCAGCATGTAATGACAAACAGATAAACCAGGAGTGTCAGTGATTTCAGAGCCAAGACTCCAGATTTGAGCAACTCCAGAGCTGACCAGGCAGTGAGCACTGACCACTTCCGAATTCAGCTACAAATGTGAGGATGACTATCAAATTAAATGATGTTTTTATAACTTGGCTTACTACCTGCTGGAGGCAAGGTTCTCCTTGGCTTCAGTGAATTCAAGGCAGACCCTTAAGGTCATCAGCCCTGGCAGGCTACAAAACAGTCAAAATGGCAACAGCTTCACTAGAATGTAAATGTATTATGTGTTTTCTCCTATTTCTGCTGTCTCTCTTTTTCCTGCCTCTCCCTCCACCTCTTCAATGTCAGAGTTTTCTGGCAAAGCCCTTTACACTTTGCAGTCAAAACATCTAAAGTGTTTCTCAATAAGTAACTGGAAATAATTACTCCTGACACCTGCACAGCAGACCTAGACCTTCTGCTTTTACAAGTGCGTGATGTTCAACCCTTAAAAGTTTTACACTGCTGTTAAAGACCTGTTTTAAAGTTCTTTTTTGCCAGTTTCCCTCCCTCAATGAGTTTCAGGACTGTTTTTTCAATAGCATATTCCTACAGTTGCTTGTTGAGGAAGGCAAATCTCCATGAAATTTATTCCTTCAGCTTCCAGAAATCGCTTCCAAGGCTCAGCCTGACAATCGTCTTACTACAGCAAGTGCTTCAGCCACACATGTTCTCTTCAGACCCCTCCCAGTGGCTTGCAAGGAGTTGTACGGAGGGGTAATCAGGGTGACTGGTTTCATCATAAGCTTGCGTCTAGCTCTGGTCTCAGTTTGTGTCCAGCCAGGGACACAAAAGGTGGTACCATCTGGAAATGTTGGATCAGGGTTTTTACCACGGAGGTTTAGGGGAAAAGGGGTGTTGTCTTGGCTCTGGTGCCAGAGCTGTGAAGTATGAAGCTGGATCTGAACTTCTTTGAGGCTCTGGCACAGACTGAAGACTTTGGTTCAAGACTGTCTTTGGTTTTAGATTTAATGAGCTCAGGAGGGCTGGTTGCAGACTCTGTTCTCTGTAAACAGTAGGCTCCATAACATACATCATCAAGTGTTTTGTACCACACACAATGTATATTATTGTCCAGCACAGAAGAAACTTAGGACTGAGAAGGTCATGAATATATGGCTTTTGACAAAGCCTCTCACAGGGGGCTACTGGAGAGTCTAAGTAGGTGTGAAGGTAAAGCAGTGAGAAAAGAGCAAGGAAAACCTTGGGATGAGTTGTTACGGATGCACGCGTAACCAAATCCAACAGGTGTTAAAACTCAGATTTATTCTTTAGTAAAAGTTAGTTAGAAGTCTGGTAACATTTTGTAAAACCACAGGCTCAATGATGTAAAGAAAGTTAATGCTACACAGCTGACTTAAGAATCCTCAAGATTTAAAGTGATGGCTCCAAAACACGCGTATCACTCGCCTAAAAGCTGAGGGCTCTCTCCTTTGAGGAGTCACCTCGGGCAGTGCCCCGACCCGAGGGGGAGTCCCCGACTGCAGACCCGCTGCTCCGAGGAGGACTGGTTCTACTATGTCCTCCGGCGGGACCCCATTTATACCCCTGCCGAATCTGACCTGTGGCCATTTAATCCCTATGGGCCAGGAGGGTCACCTCCGTGTACCTGGCGTGTCTCGACTGGCCAGTTCAAATTTCAACCTGCAGCTTCCAGGGTTTCCTTCCCCTTCTCCCTGCCTAGAGAAGTTTCGTTTCCTGCTGGTGGGATGGGGGGGGGCACCGGGAGGGGAGGAGTGTACTGCCACACGAGTGAACAGTAGTTTGAGAAAAATTCCTGAGCTTTAAGGACCTAATAGTGACCAGGGGTGGAGACAGGCCTTTACAAGAGAGGGGTCTGTCTCCAAGAAGACAGACTCCTTCCCTTGCACTGAATCTTGCTAATCTCCTGTCTATCCTGACCTTAAAATACTAAGGTCAGCACAAAGGCCCTGCTCCCTCCATGCCACTGTCTGCTCCCATGGAACAGAAATGTCATGCTGATTTTTCCCTACACATGTACAGACCCTCTCATGCTTTGGTTCTCCTCCTGAAACAAATTGGTTCCTTGAGTTTGACTTGACTTCTCTAAGAAGCTAACCTGCCTCTTGGCTCCAGAGACTCTTGGTCAGGTTTTGCTCCATTTGTCTCTCTGAACGGGACTTTCTTAGGTGTATTCAAGAGAAGTGCCATAAGATGTTTTTTAATCTGCCATCTGGACTTTGAATTCCTTAGGAACCATTCTTTCATGACCTTTGAGTGTGTCTTTCAAGAGGGTCCTCCTCACCTTCTTGTTGGCGTCTTCACCTTCTGGAAGTCTTCAGTGAACTTTGTTTTTCATCCCTTTTTCTTCACCTATGCTTGTTTTGGGCTACCAGAGATTAAGTGACTATTCCTATGCTGATGATTTACAGATCTATTGCTCTCCTCCAGATTATTTTCCTGAGTAAATTTGAATTTCAGGCAGCCTTCCTGAAGGTTTACTGATGGTTTACTATTTTAGACCAGTAGTAATACCAAGCAACAGCAACTACGTTCAGTGAAGCGTAAGAGATAATTACCGACTTGGAGAGGTGAGCTGGTCTACAATGCTTCTATAGGCAGTATTTCAGCTGCTGTGGAGCTCCTAGACAGAGACAACTTGCAGCCAGCTAGCAGCAGAGGTAGAAGATCTCAGGTCTGTTTGCACTGTTTCCTCTAACCATGCTGTCTGTCTCAGTCTTTCCACCATAATCACAGCGAGTTCCTCTCAAATTCAGAGTTCTTGCTTGGAGTCTGGAATGAATTTTCTGAGAACTTAGAAGTAAATCTTTTTAACTACAAAACACAAGGAGTTGCACTCCTGTCCTATAAAAAAACCTTAGCTTTCCACAGTGGAAAGCCTTGCCTCAAAAACCCTAGTAATGTAATAATGCAGACGCTTTAAACTTCATGTGTAGCTGCATGTGAACTGTATTAGCACAAACATGGTTGAAAGGCAAGGGATTTGTGAATATTTGATGTTATAAATACTTTCTGCAGTTATATAAGCTGAGGCCAGCTCATATATCTGGCTGAGGTCAGTGGATCCTGAAGGAGGGCCAGCCATTCCATCAAAGGTACCTTAAGCAACGGCCATCTTCCTGTCTGACTAACTGTCATGCGTTTGTTCCATTAATTGCCGTGACTCAGTGTTTGGGAAAGACTGTCCTTGTGATACAGGTTCAGCTTTGGTTTGCTGTTTAAAGATCCTGTGCTTACTTGAGCATGCGTTCCCTACAACAGCCCTGACCCAAGAACAGGTTGGCTTTTTGGGGGCTGGCTTGAACCAGAGTCCTTCAGCATTGCCATTGATCGTGGCTAGAAGCAGGGCAATGTCCTGGGACTGGGAGCTTCCAAGGGATGTGTGAGTGAAGATGAAGTGGGATCCGCACCAGTGCTAATCATTCAGTGTACTGATGGACTGGACACCTCTTGTTGCTTGAGCAGAGTTGAGGCTTGACGTTGGGGACATGACCAGCTCTGCAGCTGTAGCTGGTAGATCTGGTCTGGAAGGAGAGGATGTTGTGAGGCCAGACCTGAAGCTTTCCAGCTGCCTGGTCTTGGTTGGGTGAGCAAGTCCAGAGAAAACTCTGGTTCACCTGCCTTGTAGTGCTGGACCCCCTTGATGTCACAGGGACATGACATTGAAGTTTTTAGCTTGGTTGTGTTAATGCTGACCTTGGGGGACCTCCTTGGGCTGGTTCTCAGGCATGAGAGGGAGAGTTCATTTAAAGCCCAGTTTAGCCCATCTCCCAAGGCAGGAGGAGGCAGAGGTGAGAAGGAAAGCCTGATCTGTAGAGGAGGGAGAGGGGAGGCTGGTCTTGTGGAAGTGTTCATAACATCCCAACATCTTGCCTTCACAGCCAGGCTCCTGCAGAAGGGAAATACAACTTCCTGATCCAAAGCTGGGAGCTCTCCCAGTTCATCAGGGAGCTGTGGGGACAGGGAATGGAGGCATAGGGGTGTTCTGGAAGGAAGGCAGAGTTCTCATGCTGCCATCTGATCAGCTGTAAAAAAAAAAAAAAAGAAAGTACTAAAAATATGATCATCCTTGTGGAGTGTAGGGGAGGAATAGGATAGGGGAAGCCAGCAGAGAGGAGAGGGAGGGACAGGGTATCCCTCCCCTGTGATAGTTTTTTCCCTCCCCGTACTGGAATCCTATTTATTCCCCTGCATGGGAAGAACACTGGGTTTCTGCTGGAAGGAGGGCTGCTCGGTCACAGGGCCTCCCATGCCCCTGGTGCTCGGTCCCGTTCCTTGTGGTTAGTGGCGCAGGATGCATGCAGGGCTTTCACATCTCATTTATTTGTTTATGAACATTATTTTCGTTCTGCGTGCGCATTCCTCCTTTCAGACCTTTGGGCAGGCAGCCCCCTGCCTTGTTCAGGCTGGGGTTTGGCTGCAGAGATGCCTTTTCTTTCTCTTTTCTCTTCTCTCATGCCCTGTTTTGACTAAAATGAGAAGCAGCTTTTTTTAATGTGCCCACTGGGTTCTCCATCAATGGGATGCCCTTTGCTATCTACAGCATTTACCAGCCTGGTAATTGAGAGGGGGATGGCTTGCAAAAACCTAATGATTGACAGCACACAACATGAAGGTGCCAAAAGGATTTTTCAACCTCTGCACCTTCTTGTGGCCCATCTCCAGTCAACTGAAGGGTCAAGAGTTGACTGATGGTATGCTAGGTCCTCTGCTTCTGGGGAGAAAGGGAATGCAGCTATTTTGTGACGCATCCTTTACCTCAAGCCAAGCTGCCCTGGGCATAAGATCCACACTGTGGGGAGGAAGAACAACAAACATGAATTTTTAGCTAAGAAACAGTGCCACTTGACAGGTCAGTGGTGTCTCTCAGTCCTTCCATGAGTTACACGTGCAGGATGCTCCACAGAAGATGCCACCCTTATTTCTTCACCTTCTTGCAGCCCTGTCAGGCTTGAGAGAATTGCTCAGGGCATCTCTGAAGGCCCCTTTCCAGCCCCAACCCAGTGTTCACTCAGTATGGTTCCACCCGAGGAGTCTCAGACTTGCTCGTGTCCTGCCAGGGACACCGTGATCTGAAGAAAGCCCTCTCCTGGAAGGAATGCCCTGTACTTGAGGACATGAGGTAGTCCAGTAGCACACGGCGCTGATCCAGGAGCAGATTTCCAGCAGTCTATGCTGTGGCTGGAGACAGGATCACACAGTGGCCCTCTGCCAATTTTAACTTTGCCGGCTGGGGCAGCAATCAGCAGCAGAGGTGCAGTAGCAGAGGCTCTGCTGTGAGGTAGCTGGCACAGTAAATCCTCCAGGGCCCTACAAAGAAAGGGAGCAAGCTGTGCCGGAGCCAACTCTTCGCTGCGCTGCCATTCAAGCTGTCTGGGTTAAAAGTAGTTGGGTAAAACCAGCCTCCCGTGACATGGAGGTATGGCCTGGGGTCTGCTTTCTGCCCCCTCATGCTGATATTCCCTAGCACGCGATCCACTGTAAGGCAGCATGGAAAAGTGGATGGAACAAGGAAGTGAGATGAGGAGAGGGAAGGAAATGGCCACTGAAAAGCCTCAAAACAGGGAGAAAAGATGTAGAGATTCCAAAGACATTTTCATTTGGCTGAAATAAAAGTGAGCGAGAGAGGAGAGGTAAGTTTTGCTCTTGAGCATTCTCCACGGAGAGTTTCTCAGCAGATGTGGTGTAGAGTTGCTGGTACAGGGTGTGCATCCGAGGTCAGGAGTCAGAGATGCTGGCAGTGAGCAAAGGGAAGGCTCTGCTCCACTTAGCTTTCCTCAGCATCATTGCTCCTTGCTCTTCCCATCGCAGGTGGGTGGGCAGGAGAGGAAAAGCACCTTGTCCTGCAGCCAAGGGCCATATCCAGCTCTGTGCTGTTGCTGTCAGTATGAGGTGGCAGCTCTGAGCACCTTCTGGGGGACTTAGTCTGTACCCATGCTCCAGCATCTTTGACAGTTGAACCTGCACCAAACTGGCTTGGAGATGAACTGCCCCTTGGTGCCACCCTGAGGCAAGGGGCTGGGGTGCCCCAGTGAAGAGGAGTAGGGCTGCGATGGGTGGGGGCTTCTCACCTGGTTCGCTTGGTGCACCTTGCCCACACACAAATCCCTCTGAAGGAGAGGAATGGATCTTCAGAAGCTGCATTTTGGAAACTCTCACTCCAAAATACACAGTGAATTTGAGTCAGGCTTGTGGTAGAAGCTCATAAGAGTTTAAATTTACTCCTTAGCATCTGGTTTGGAGGGTGAAGCAGCAGACCACTGATGCTGTCTCAGTAGTGGTCAGAGGCAGTGCATTTGAATCTTCATATGGACTTGTGCTGAAGGTGCCTTCTAGTTGGCACAACCAAGCGTGTCAGGAATTTGCTAGGCACCTCATTCTCCTTGCCTGCCATGGGAACTGATATGCTTTAGCCACCTGTCTAAGCTAGGGGAAGGTCTTCTCTGGTTTAAAAGATTATCCCTGTAAACCCAGAACATGTCTCAGTTTGGTGCCTTGGCTCCAAACCTTATTTGGAGTTGTGTGAACCAGAGCAAATGCTGAATTATAAACATCTGAAAAGACACAGAAGGAAATGGTAGTTGAAATTATTGAAGATGGTGGGAGGAGTGGTGTGATCAGAAGGGGAAGAAAAACCACCCATCCCATTCCGCTCCAAGAGGGCAAAGGAGCCCTCTTCCCATCCTACAAGAGGGTGAATACATCCATCTTCAGGTCTCCATCTGGCACCTCATTTGTGATGTGGATGCACGATGAGAGGAATTTTGTCTAGCACAGGTGAGTAACAGCAGCTGTCTGCTGTCTCTTTCTCTGGATGACATTCTCTGTACTTGCAATTCTAGGTGGAGTTGTCCTCAACCCTGCTTATTATGGTATGCATGGCCACACGAATACCATGATCCACGAAGTGGGACATGTCCTGGGGCTGTACCATGTCTTTAAGGGAGTGAGTGAGCGGGAATCTTGTGACGATCCCTGCAGGGAGACTACTCCGTCTATGGAGACGGGAGACCTCTGTGCCGACACTGCCCCCACCCCAAAGAGTAAATTCTGTCGGGATCCAGACCCCACCAATGACACCTGCGGCCAGACACATTTCACAGGAACGCCCTTCAACAACTACATGAGTTACACAGGTAATGGGTAACCATCCTTAGAAATTTTAAGGGGTCACCTTCCTTAGAAACTTGGGTTTCTCTCCTTTCTGCCTCCATTGAGAGTCCCTTCCCTCATTCCCGAACTGATGTGGTCCCTCCTGGTGTGTTGGGATGTGGCAGGCTTCAGCCTGTGCTTGCAGTAGCTTCTTAACCCCTTTCTTGCTGCAGGCTGTTTCCATCTCTCCCTCCCTGCCAGTCTGTCATTGGGCATGCATCAGGGCTGTTCTTGTCTGCATGGTGGTGTGCATTTGTTCTCCAGTCCTGAAGTAACTTTATTATTATTAATTATCACTACTACTACTATAATTTTGGACCTTTGAGTTGAGCCCTTTTGGCTTGGTTTCCAAAGGCATGCTGCGGAGGGCTGGTGTTCCTCCTGGCAGCCCAGGAGGATCAAAGCCTGTAGAGCAATTTTGTCACCCCTTGCTGACCCACTGCGAGTCCCACGAGGATGGTGGCACTGCCCGGGTGTTAGAGCTGATGCGAGCTGGTGTTGAGGCCACCGCAGTCGGGAGCTGCTGTGGCAAGTGCAGGGCTGTGGAGCTGCTGAGGCAGTGCCATCTTGTGGCTTTGGGGACACACGACACCAGAGAGTCCTGGCAGAGGAGCAACCACATGCTGGTGTCTCCCGGCTCTTCCCAAAGATCCCCCAAACAGGGTTTGGACATCAGGAAGGGAGCACGTTGTCAGGTCCCGCCGGCCAATCCCTGCCACCTCTCTTCCCCCAGATGATGACTGCACCAACACCTTCACGCCCAACCAAGTGGCCCGGATGCATTGCTACCTGGACCTGGTGTACCAGCGCTGGGGCCAAAGCAAGAAGCCTGCACCCATCCCGATCCCTCCCATGGTCACGGGGCAGACGCAGGACTCTCTCAGTATCTACTGGCTGCCTCCCATCAGTGGTGTCATACATGAGAGGTAAGGGATCTGCTGTTGCAACGGTCTTGGGCTTGCACCGGAGCCTGCTAGAAGGGCCAAGGGACCCTCTATGGTGCAGACCCCCCCCCCATCCCCTTTCCCCCTTGGTCGTCTCCAGCAGAGCCCTCTGACACAAGAGCCAGACGGCTGTGATGGCCCCACTGGCATGCAGACTCTCCTGCAAGCTTTCTGCTGTCGGGGTGCTGGGAGGGGAAGCCAAAGAGCGTCAGGAGGCAATGCCAATTCTTAAACCCCAGAGTGCAATCACAGAATGAAAAATGAGCTTCATTTAGCACTTATTGTATAAAATAGCCATTTACCAGGAGGAAATGCAGCCTTGTGGTTAAGGCAGGGAGCTCGAACCACAAGAGCTGGGTTTTGTTCCCAGTGCTGTCACGGACTCATGGTGTAACTAACTGGGGGTAAGTCAGGAAATTTTTCAAGCCAGAGAAACGGTGCTGAGGAACCAGAGCTGTTTGGCCAGCAAGCAGTGCATGGCCCTGAGCTCTTGGTGGCTGTCTTCCTTCTCCTCAATACTGGGGACTCATCAAGACCTGGATATGACACCAATGCTTCTATTCAGCAGCCTGTCTTACTAAAACATTTTGGTTTTCACCAGGTTTTAGGTCTATGCTTTTATTATGGGACCATAAGCATAAGTTGGAAGAGCTCTTGAAATTGTTTTAAAGCTACTTCACAAAGCTCTTGCAATTCAAAGAAAAGTGGTGTTTGAGGGCAATGGGGACAACCCTGGGTCAGTGTTTACTGCCTTTTCAAAGAACTGAAGCTCTCCGCAATGGGCCTTTCATCCCAGGGATAACGAGAGTGTGTACCTGTTATGCCCACAGGCATGAGAGCCTCTGAGTGCTGGGTGGCTTTGAGTCATACAAACAAATTGCTTTGGTGGGGAATGGGGTGGTTTGGGAGCAAGAAAACATGGGTTTAAGAGGCAGGTGCTGGGTCTTCAGATCCATCCCCGGCTCTTGCTCAGGAGCTGGTCTGTGGTGGGGGTTCTGTATCCCCTGTGATGAACTTGCTAAGGAAAGGTCCTGAGGCGGGTCTTTATCACAGAAAAGTCTCTTTTTCCTTCCTGGAGAGCATAGTGGCACCCTCTTTAATTGACATTATCGTGACTGTTGTGTAGTGCAGTAGTGACAGAAGTTAAAAACCTGACTCTGGGGTTTAGCAGACCCAAGTGCACCCAACCCAACTGCAGACGCACTGCCCTGGGAAGCATGAAGTCTGTTAGCCCTGCTTTGTGGTGGGGAACAGGTGATTCAATGGCTCATCCGAGACTACCCAAAGAGCCTGTAGAAGAGGAGGGATTACACCTGGCTTGTCCCACTGTCACTCTTATTATCTTGTCTTTGACAAAGCTTATTTCAAGCAGGATGATATACCCAGGGGCTTCCTAAGAGCTTAGCTTTGCTTTTCCAACTTCCTATCTGATCCTGCCTGGACAAATGTGGATGGAAAATTAACCAGTTGTAATTAGACATGCCAATGCCTTTGTCTTCTGCCTGCAGGGAGCAGGACACGCTCTGTGACGACTGTGCGGAGGATGGCACCTTCCGTCAGTATGTGCACGAGGCCTCTTCCCCTCGGGTCTGCGATTCCTCTGGCTACTGGACCCCAGAAGAAGCAGAAGGTAAACACCTCCTCTCTTCCCCTGACTGTGAATCTCCCGGACAGAGATGAGATCTTGTTAGGAAAAGAAAAAGAAGCTTTTTTTCTTTTAGAGAGTGAGACATCTCCTCTTTGGGGAGGTTCCTTAGTGCAGGAAGGAATTCTATGTGCCCAGGAAATACCTAGTAACTGCCAGGTGGCTTTGGACTAACAAACTGACAGCCCAGTCATTGCACAGGAAGGTGTTAATGAGAGATACTGGTCAAAAGGGAAGGGCATTTCATTGAAATAAAAGTCTTACAACATAAATCTTGGGACCTCATCCAAAACCTCAGGGGCCTTCACAGGCTTTGATGCAGCCTTGTCCAAAGGGAGCCAGAGGAGCTCCTTGCTCAGTCCCCTTGAATCTGCACCAGGTCCTGGGCAATCTGGGTTGGATGCTACTCCTCACTGGCAAAGTGAACAGCAGGGTGTCACAACTCATGTTGAGACACAGATGTTGGTTTAGAGACCCACCTTGTGTGCATGGTGGTGGGTTTTGGGGTCATGCACCTGCCATGGGAGCTGTTGGGCTTTTCATGCTGCCTTGGCTCCTCCAAGGGCAAAGCAGAGGAGGCAGAAGACCAGGTGAAATGATCCTGTGACCTGTATGTAGTGCACATGCTGCTGTTGAACATCATGGAGCCAGAGGATCTGTTAGTTCTGTGCATCTGCATGTTTGAGCCACTGAGGTTGACTGAAAATGTGCCAGGGTGGTTGCAGAGAAGGTGCAGTTTGGACATTATTATACTTTTGGTATGTAGCCCATGCTTTGATAACAGGAGTGTCAGAGTGTAGCTGAGATTCTGTGTCTGAAAACTCTTTAAGCATCTCTTGCTAGCATTGCAAGTTGAGGGGGGTGGGAATCTACTTAAAGAAATCACCACACTTGTGCTTATTCAGTGATACCAAACAAATCAAAGCTTAGCTCATGAATTGTCAGTGGTTCCTGTTTCCCCCGCCTGTCTGATTCACTGGCAAATTAAAACTGCTTCTGGAATTATTGGATGTTGTTTTCTCCTATGCATGACCTGCAGTTATCACAAGTACATGTTTGCTCTGGTGAAAAAGAAACAGGTTTTATGGTTTTTAGAAGACTAATATTAAATGGATGCAGGCTTTTGAATTGGTGCTGGGCCTTAAGAAATGCTTGCAGTGGTTGATGAAGACAAGGGTATTTCTACTACAGAATGATGAATTCCAGTGATGCTTTCTGAGACTGAAAGCCCAATGTTACATTTCTCTTGCTGAGTGCTAATCCACCACCAGGGGAGGCAGGCTGGGGATCTGAGGTCAGCCTGGGCACCGTGCTGGTGAAAGAACAGCCTTCCAGAGCTGCTTCCCTGGCTTGCTTTGGACCTGCTCCCTTCCTGCCTGCGACCTGTTCCAGCACTTGCCTGTGGAAACCTTCAGTCTCTGCTCTGCTTAGCCTATGTCCAAACCCACGGAGCCGCAGGGACTCGGCATTCAGGTGCCCTTGGCAAGCCTTCTGTGCCCATGAGACTACAGAGCAAGCTTCACGTCCCCCAGCTGTGTCCAGGCTGTCTCTAGAGTTTGGCACTGTAACCAGCTGCAGTGTGGACACCATCGTCCTTGTTTTAGAGGACTGTGAGACACCAGATCTGCCAAGCCTTGTGCTTGCGTGCATACCCAGGATGCGGGAGACTAGTGGTGCTTATTGCTTTCTAGGATGGCAGGGCGGAGATGCCACCAGCTCTGGCGCATGCCTATAGCGGGTGCAAAACCTCATGGGTGTGCAGCTATAGCACAGAGATGCATAAGCAGCTATGGGGTACTGCAGGGAGGATTGCCCCTCTGGGTGCCCTGGGAGGTCGGCTGTCCCCTGGGTTCTCACCAGCCTCTTCCTCGTCCCTCCTGTCCAGGGCCCCCAGATGTGGATCAGCCCTGTGAGCCCAGCCTGCAGGCCTGGAGTCCGGAGCTCCACCTGTACCACATGAACATGACGGTGCCGTGCCCCCAGCCGGACGGCTGCATCCTGGAGCTGCGCTTCCTGCACCCCGTCTACCCCGATTCTCTCACCCTCTGGACCACGTACCTCTCCACGGGTTCTCCCAAGGCGCTGTCTGACATTGAAGTCCTGACGGAGCAGGGGGAGTCCATCCATCTGGGCCCCCTGGACACCTTCTGTGATGTCCCCTTTACCGTGAAGCTTGACATACCTAAAAAGGTGTCCGGAGTCAAAATCTACACCTTTGACGAGAGGATGGAGATAGACACGGCCCTGCTGACCTCCATGCCCCACAGCTCTCTCTGCTCCACCTGCAAGCTGATTCAGTACCGCGTCCTCCGCGACCCCCCATTTGCAAACGAATCCCCTGCCGCCCCGGCACAGGCGCACCGCCAGTTCGTCGACACGTGAGTGACAAGGCTGCTCCGTTGCAGACTGAGTGGGCGGCTGGGACAGTTTTGATGACCTCCTCAGGTCCTGCCTTTGAATCCCTGGATGGTTTTGCTTGTGTTTCGTTTTTTTCACCCCTGGAATTACCATGTTCAATGCCATGAGTGGATTCCCTGTTCAGCATTGAGGAAGCTTGTTGCAGACCCACTATGCTAGCATGACCCTTGCCAATGAGCCCAGGCTAACTAGAAGGAGCTTATTAAACCCAGAAACATTTTCCCCATCAACACAACAAGTAAAATGATTGTTCAAGTTAATGCCACTTCTCCCCAGCTCAGACTCTAGGGAAATAAGCAGCAGGCCCCTCTGCATGACCTGGCAACGACCTTCTTGCCACAGTCTGTAGCAGTTTAGAGTACAAAGACATATGTCAAACTGTGATACTGCATGGGCACACACATGTGATTTCTATCTAGCTGTGGTGAGCAAATCTGTTGCAGATGTGTGGGCTGTTCCTTCCAGCTCCTTCTTCAAGTCCTCTCTGTTCCTGCAGGGAAGTCACACCTGGGCAGGTGTACCACTACCAGGTGCAGGCAGTCTCTGGGACAACCTCAGGAGAAGCCTCTCCACCGCTTGTCCATGTCCATGGAGCACCCTACTGTGGGGATGGGAAGGTGACCATGTAAGTCAAGAAACTCAAGCTCTCAACTGAGCTTCTTTAAACTGTCAGGTCATCCTGCCCCAAAAGCAAGCACCGGGTTGGTCCTCCACCCATAGGTACTTGACTGAAGGTGCTGCACCAAATCCCTCCAGCAGACTGGACTGTAGAGCTTGTGCTTTGTAAAACGCCTTGTGCATAGGGGATGGAGACGGTCTTTTTGAGAAGCAGGGTCTGGATGAGGGGTCCAACCTGAACATCCTCTGTGTTTGTCTGCAGTGCTTGGATCCTGGCCCATCTTGGTGAACTGTCATGGAGTCTGACCCCAAAGGGATCTGCCTTTGGAACTGGCCAATATAACCTTTTGTACAGGGCACACAGTGGTAGCCCTGCAGGATTAGGTTCTGCAGCAAGTGTAGTCCCTCACGGCATGGTGTCTTTAGAGAGCTGTCTGGTCTCTGCTTAGAGACCCCAAATGATGAGGGATGCACCACCTTTACATTGAGGGACTCCAACAGTTCATCTGCTCTGTCTAGGGATAATTATGCCAAATTTCTGTATTTTGGCTTTTTCAGATTTCAACTCTCAGGTTAGTCAGAATCACTTTCCTTTTGAAAACAGCTTTCTTAACAGTGTGAGGGAAGTGGACAATTGAAGCAAGTGCAGGAGGGATTGTGGTATAGTACAAGACCCAGTAAGGCAAAGAGGCTTACAGCAGGGCTAGCTGCTGAAGTGGTGTAATCTGGTATGGTTTTAGCATGAATGTATACTAGCTGAAGACTTGGTCCAGAGAGAGCAAATGTCTATATTAGGCTCCGTTGTCAAAGTCACTAGAAAAGTGAGAGAAGCAGAAATGGGCCGATAGCAGCTAAGATTTCTGGCAGGCTTTCTTGTTCCTGAGCTGTTGTGGGGAACGCCATGCAGGAAGCTTTGTCTGTGAAAGTTTTTTCCTTTGTACAATGTGTGGAACAGTGAGCTGAAGGTGGGACACAGTGGATCATTCGTGTTAGATGAGGGTGGAGGTAGGTGAGCATCACCAGATGTATGTTTGAATTTTTTTTCACTCCTTGTGGTTTGGGATGCATAACTCTGCACAAAGGAATAGGTACAAATCCAGGCATTTCTGCCAGCTTTTCCAATCAGGTCTATTTTCTGCAGTATGGGGACAGAACCTTTTCAAGGAAACTGCATGGGCTTTTTTCCTCATGAGATGCCGTACTTGTCAGCTGGGGAGTGATTCTTGTCTCCTTTTGGGCTAACCTTCTCTTTCCCTTCTCCTGCCTCCCTTTCCCAACTCCTACTGAAACACCAGCTCCATCTCAGAACCTCCTGCCCTCTCCAACACTTGCTTTCTCTAGCAGCAAGTCTTCCTGATGCTTGGTTCTCTACTTTCTCTGTTGTATATAGCTTCATTTTCTCCCATAGTTCTTGGCTCAGGTCTTATAAGAAAGTCACAGTACAGTCATGACTTCTCCCATATGCTGTGTTTTCAACCTCTTTTTGTTCCCTGGCAAGATACGGTGTTTGCTCTCCTTTACCGCTCTCCACATGTGGTTCTTTCTCTTCTCCCTGCTTCTGTGGAAATGGAACGAAGATATGGGGTCCTCACTCATGATTGGGCAGATGCACAGGGGTATTGAGTTAAGGGTGATGTTAACACGTCTGGCTGTTGTCCTCTTAGGATCCTGGAAGAGGAATGCGATGATGGGGACTTGCTGGACGGAGATGGCTGTTCCAGGAAGTGTAAAAAGGAAAAAGGCTTCAACTGTGTCGGTAAGTCCGAATTGATTAAGACATCCTTTTGAGGCAGGAATCAAAACTGTACATTATTCACCCTGCTCCCCAGAGCAGTGGGTGATGCACATCATTGCAACAAAATATGCATCTGCAGCTGGAGTGATCCATGGAGCTTGTCAGGCCCTTGTGGCGGGAAATCCCAGGGCTAGATGGCCAGCATGCCACCTGGGACAGGAGATGTATAGCCCTGGAGCCTGGTTTGTAAAAGGGTCATCCCTGATGTCCTTGCAGGGGAACCAAGCCTGTGCTATGTGCACAATGGGGATGGTGTGTGTGAGCCGTTTGAGCGAACAAGCAGTGTCCTGGACTGTGGTCCCTACACGCCCGATGGATATGTGGATCTGTGGGCAGTGAAAGCCTATGCCTCCCATCAGGACGCGAAGTCCTGCCCTGCTTCCTTGGCCACTGGAGAGCCTGTTGTGAAGGTGAGTGAAGGCATGGCAGGAAAAAAAAAAAAGACTGTTCTAGCAAAGCCCATGCAGTAAAGCTGGGGAAGTCACTGCTGCAGGAGTGTACCGAGGCAAAAACAAAATCTTCAGAGCAGCTCTGGAAGTGTTCATTGATTACTACATTCCTGTGCAGGGAGCCAGTAGAAGAGCTGGGCATTTCTCACACCCCTCTTTCAGTAGTCCCTAAGTCCAGGAATGGCAGTACATGGAGGGGTGTTTCATCAAGGCAAGGAGCACCTCCCCTGATGATGTAGTTTGCTAACAGTGACCACCCTCATCCCACCAGCTAAATGCACAACCTTGAGCATGTGAGTAGTCCCACTATCAGTTTAAAAAAATCCCGTAAATCTAATACCATATAAGGTCAGGGTCTGAAAGGGTAAAATCATGCATCCATCAGCATCTGTGCTGCTTTCAAACTCTCTGATCTGAAGCCAAGGAAAAATTGATGGGAGAATTCCCATCTTTCATATGGGCTTTGGAGCAGGGCCTGGAGGTCTAGGACGGGATTTTGCCTGATCAGTGTTAACATGGTGTGTGTATGTTCTTTCCTAGCAAGCTGAAGAAGGGCAAGAAATGTGTAGAGAGGTCATATTTAGCCCACTATACATGCATTTCTATTGACCTGATATAAGGAACAATCTTCTTGAGACCTGTAGCATGATTAAATTGCCCAGATGTACATGTCTAATGAGATGCCTTGGGCTCAGGTGTCTGCTTCTGTAGAACAACACCTTTATCTCCTAGGTTTTGTCTGCCAGGCCTGTGGGGATGTCTGAAATACCATAGGTCATTGAATGTCACAGAAGACTGGTATTCAGGCAAAAGAATCACACTGTCGGATCTCATCAGCCCAGACGAAATCAGGAGGCTGTGGTATTACCTACCATCTCTCAGGTGGTATTACCTACCATCGCTCATTATTTCTTAGCCCCACAGCCACCATGGGGTGCTTTAACAGCATGTTTACAGCACCTCAAAATGGCAAAGAACTCCTGTGCACATGTATGGGCAGCGAGCTGTCACTCCTGCTTAGGAACCCACATCCTAATTGTCTTCATGCTAGGAACTGACTCAGGATCCTTCTCAACGCTTGTTGAGTCATCCTTGAGGTTTTGTAGGTACTCTTTCTTTCTCTCACTTTCCTTGCTTCTTTCTGGGTTGAAATAAATATCTCCTTTCAGGTATGTAAGTCCCACCTTCACAATGTGCCCAAGGACCTTTCCCTGGCTGCTTGGTTCCCCTGTGCTCCCAGCCAAGACAATGCTCAGGATCCAGATGAAGAGAGGATGCCCTTGGGCGATGTGGGAGTTTGGCTCAAGGTAAGTGAGGATGTGTGGGTCAGGCACAGAAGGATTTGCTTATCTTTGCCCCAGCAATTTGGTGACAAAGACCTGTCCTTTTCTGTCCTGCAGGAGCTACGGCAGTCTTAAAAACTGCTCAGATAGGACTTCTTATCCTACTGAACTCTTTGCAAACCCCAAATGCCTGTGGCTGGGTCTTATGTTGTTGTCCCATTCCCACTGTGAACAGCAAACCCATCTTGGGGCAGATTGCCAGGAGAAGGGCTGTGCCCAAAACCAGAATCCCACAGAAATGTGTTGAGGCTGAGAAACAACTTGCTCCTGAGACTATTCCCTGCAGTCAAGCTGTGCTGTTACACCCGCAGAGGGTGGGCACAAGCCATGTTTCAAGTCCTAGTTGCCTTTGTTCCCCATGGCTGTGAAGAGCAACAGAGGGTAGGTGGATATACTCTGCCATCCTGAAGGGTCCTGAACACTCCAGGTTGCTGCTGAGCACCCTGAGCCCACAGCAATCAGCTGCGACATGCAGGTGGTCCTGCCCCCTCCCCGCCCCAGTGACTCCAGACCAAAGGAGGCACTTCTGTGCCCAAGATGCTGGTCCTGCAGCCCAACGGGGGCTCGGGGGGCTGCCTTTGGCAGGGTACCCAGAGGGTCAACCCTCTCTGTCTTGGCAGGCAGAGTAGGAGGACAGAGGAGAGCTAATGGTTAGGTCAACATGATTTTTACAGCCGTGATTTTCTGACCACAGACACAGTTTAGAGGTTTTGTGGCTGTTGCCTGGTGTTACTGGAAAGCTGGGCTCTGGCATGCTGCTTCCTCTGCTGTTTGAGGAGCAGCTTGCCCTGCTTTGCTCAAGGGTGTCTAGAGAGGACCTCTTCCCAAGACACTCAGACGATTTGTTGAATTGTCAAACCTGAGTCAATAAGCATGGCTATTGCCTCTGACATCTTCCGTCTCTCCAAATAACTTCCTTTAACTGATATAACTCCCTTAAATGATTTTTTTTTTTTCTTTTTCCCTTGTCTGTGTGCTCACAACCTACTTTCCGGCTTCAGTCTCTGGCCATGACAAATGTGCCTCCTTTCTTCCTTTGCTAGCGAGAAAGCAGCAATCTCCCCCTCTGCCCTACCTAGATGAAAGCTTGCTTTCCACTTCTCACCAGGGGTTAAAGCGTGTTCCAGTTTTATTGGAGCTTGTGGTCAGTTCTCTTCCTCTATGGATGTTTATATTAAAGACTTTCATTACTGGTTCTCCATGCTCTCTCTAGGAGTGCTATTATTTTCCGCCCATAAAATTATTTATGGACTAGTAATAAATATACCCTTTTTCTTTTTTTCTTTTTTTTTTCTTTTTTAATAGAGTTTGCTGATTGGTAACATATTGAGTTAGGAAAGACGGTTTCTTGTTGACAATTTGCCTAGCACACCCGCCTGCCCGGACAGGAATGATGCTGTTCATGCACATGTGTACCCACGTGTGCATGGTGTTTCATGGCCACCAGCTCCCATGGCCATTTTAAAGCTGTTGCACCTGTGTCACCCGGGTTAGAGCCACACCACAAAACTCATCAGGTGGTAGGAATTGCTTCCTACAGCATTTCTCAAGAGGTGGCACCAATGAGCAAGAGAAAGGCTGGGTCATGCTGTAAGTGGGCTAGGGGCGAGAGGTGTGTGTGTGTCTGTGCCACCTCACAAAGCATCTACCATGCACCTTGGGCCTGTCTGCAGATGGGAATCATTATGATTTGCAGATGTCTGGCCATGCTTTGTTCTCAGTTTCTAACACATCCAATGAGGAGAGAAATCAAAATCACTTGTAAGCAAGTCAGGATGTGTAACATGCAGGAAATTAAACAGAAAGGGGGAGAGGGGGGGAGAAAAATTAAGAAGATAGCCTGCTGTGGCCAAGCACATAATATGTATTAAAAAGAAAAAAAGAATTGGGATGTTAGTCAAGTCAGCTGCTGTCAGTCTAACTTGGGTCCAGTGTCCTTCACCTCCAAGCAGATGCACTGCAAGAAGGGAAAGACTAAGCCCTCCACCTAAAGCTGTGCAGTCCAGGGAAAACCTCACCTGACTTCTCCAACCACCTTTTCTGTCCTGAGGAACCATGCTTGGAGGAACAAGCAGCAGGTGGCTGGGTTAAAATCGTCCGGCTCCTTGGGGTTTCCCAGCTGCAGCTCTGTCCTGGGGGGCTCCTCGAAGCAGGCTGTGTGCACTGCTGGCTCTTCATCTTTCTTCTCTTCCTGCTTTTCTTTCCTCCCTTCTTGCTTTCCCATTTCTTTTCCTCTCTCCCCCTACTTTTCTCACCAAGGGAGACAGTGGCACTGTACCAAATAAAAATGTTTGAGCATCCTGGTCTACTTCTTGCAGCCAGGCCAGCCCTGCATGAGAGCAAGCCCTGGCCAAGGGAGCATGTAGGCAGCGGTGGGGAATCGCTTGTGGGGTATTTGCTACCAAGCACCTCCCTGCAGGGTGGGAGCCCTGGGCTGAAGCCCAAGGTTTTCTCCTGCTCCCATGCATGAGCAATGCCTGGCGTGGCGTGAACCACCCCAAGGCTGGGCTGCCATCACAAATCGGGAAGCTGTCCCCTCCGCTCCTGCAGTCTGCTCCTTGGGCTGTGCCCGGCCAGCTGGGACTTGTCCTCCTCCAAAATACTTCTTCGCCTTGAATTTCTGGGCTCCCTCCACACCAGCATTCAACAAAAACACTCCAGCGGGTGGATCTTGATCAAAACACATCACGGCACTGGGTGGGGGGTACCAGGGTGGGGGAGAAAAACATTTCTATCTTCTTACTTCTGAAGAACATCTGTCCTGCCATGACTGATGCCATGAGTTTCCCGGCTGCCTCCTGTAGCCTTCGGGGCTGTAGACAAGTGGGGAGCTGTCGGCTGTCCTAGCAGGCAGGGCTTCTTCCCACAGATCTTTCCACGTGTTGGCTGACAGACAGTTTGCAGTCACTCCGGGTACTGGGGCTGTTATTTGTTTGGGGTTTTTTTGGTTTTGTTTTTCTTTTTTAATGGAAATATTTCAGTGGCAGGGCTGGTAGCTGTGATCTCAGGCTGCCTCACTTGCCTGGCCAGCACTGTGTGGAGTGGGAGTTGGAGCCTGGTGAAGAGAGGGCAGAAAAGGGGTTATCCAGGTCTCTGTCAGGTGCTGCTCAATTTTAAGAGCAGCAAATGTGAAAGCTGGGAAGATGCCATAAATTTATGGCAAGACGGGACAGTTACACGTGGGAAAGGCTAGGGAAAGGGAGAAGGGGAATTAGGAGGGAAAGGACTGTGTTCCTGCACCCTTTCTTCCCTCCTCTCTCTCTTCCTACCCCTTTGCTGCCCTGTACATCTGCAGTCTCTGACCTCCTAACCCTGCTCCTGCTCTCTCGCCATGTTCCCTCTTTCTCTTTCATATATTGGATCAGAAAGGCTGTATTTGGTATGCATGCTTTCAGGGTCTCTCTTGCCCTCCTGCCCAGGTGTGCTTTGAGAGACCTGCAGTGCCCACCTCCCTCCTGGTCTTCCTGGCCTCCGACGGCACCGTCCCAAGCAACCAGCGCAAGCCGAGGGTCACTGTCCAGATGAGCAACATAGATGGGCTGAACCGCTCTTTGGGTGAGCAACCTATGGGCTGTGGCAGGAGTCTGTGCCGTTCCGGTAGGGATGCCAGGAGCTCCCACCATTGCTGCGATCTCTCACTGGATTGGGTGCTGCTGTCCCCTGTGCCTCCTTGCAGCATCTTCTGCTTCCCAGGCTGGTCTGTTGGGATGTGTAAGGGAGCAGAAGAGCTAAATCAAAGCAGAGAAAATAACCCTAGAGCTGAGCTAGTGGCTTTTTTCTTTGTCCCATCTCGCAGGGATGTACGAGCTGTCATGCCAGCACAATCCCCTCGTCATCAACGTGACCCATGACCAGGAGGACGCATCCCACTGGGCTGCTTCGGTGCTGCTCAACTTTTCCTCCCCACTCGTTGGCATCGCAGCCGTGGCCTTGAGGACCTCAGCTCAGGCTGGTTCCTCTGACCCCACCACTTGCCTCCTGCAAAATGAGGAGGGCCATGGCCACCAGCATTACAGGTATGATCTCTGCAGGGCGCTTCCCAAGGGGTACCCAGGGTACCTCTCTCCTCTGGGGCTTTGTGCTTCAGTTCTGGAGTTTTTATTTACTCATTGAGTGTTTCGTGATTATTCTCAGGTGGCTTTTGAGGTATTGTTGGAAAATCTAGTGTATGAGTCTTGATTTGCTTGTCTCGCTTTGGGGGTGGAGGCAGGAAAACAGATTTTGTGCGTGGCCCATGCGTCTGCATAAAACTGCATTAAAGGACTGTTCCCTGGTGGGAAAACTAAGCTCGCTCTGGTGAGGAGTTATCACTGGGGGTTGCTGCTGAAGCTGAAATGTTGGCAGCTTTAGTCTGTGCTTTTCAAGCTCGGTCTCCGTCCATTCTAGCCTTCCCCACACTGCTGGAGGTGGGGACAAAGCTCTCCTCCTCCTCCTCCTCCTCCTCTCTGGGCTTGGTTCCCTGTCTATACCAGGCTCCTTACCAAGTCTCACATTGCCCTGGTTGTAACATGGTGATAACAATAGTAGTAGCAATGGCGCTTTAATTTATTGATGTCCAGTGTTTGCAGGCGTCTGCCTGTCTTCATAAAGCAGCAAACGAGAGGCGGCGTTTGCAGAACAGGCACTGCTCTCCGAGTGGGTTGTGCTGGCAAAAGGATGGGGAAGGACTGTCATCCAAAATAGACTAAATAAACAAGGCAGAAAGAGCGTGCCGAGCAGAGGCGCGGACCCAAGGAGGAACGAAAGGAAGGAGCTTAGCTCTGTCCTAGAGGGGTAGTGGGGCTGACGACAGCCAGACCTGCCAAGTCTGGCTTTGCTTTCGAATCCCAAGCTCCCTGAAGTTACAAGCATGCCGATCCAGGGCTCTGGTTCAGTCACTTACTCAAACCACACCACTGGGAATACTGATTTTTGGGTCCAAGCTTTGCTGGATCTGTGGGGGTGTTAAGAGTGAAGGGCTTTGGCTAGGGTCATCGCATCACTGCTACTGTCATTTTTCTTCTGTTGATGGCCCTGGATGGACGAACATCCCCGATAATGAATGAGTGTGCATGTGTTTGTGTAAAAGCTTGTGGGATCATGGTACAATTGATTTATGTAGAGTTCTGGAAGCCATGAATATCCTGCATGAATATCTTTTTTTTTTCTTTTTTTTTTTTAAGTGCATGTGCGATTTATACAGAAACATAAATCTTAGTGAGTCAGCATATAAATATTATTCTCAGCCTTACATTAAAGGATCAGCGTCCACCTGAAATGCAGTCCGTTTCCTCCTGGTAGCCGTTACAGCTATGTACACTCATGCTTCTAAGACCCCAGCCAACTGATGTGGTTTTTCAATTACATTTTCTCATCCTTTAAAATAATTTTGCACTCATTGCTTGAGAGCTTCCCCTTCTCCCTCAGAAGTGACTGCAAGGAGAAACAGACTGGACACAGCTGAGCTTTGCCTATGGATGGGGAGAAGCTCATATAGGGACAAAAAGATAGGAAAATAGATGGTTTTCTCTTAAAAGTCTTGTTATAGCTGAAGCACAGGCCAGTTCCCATATCGCCAAAGCGCACAGAGCTGCGTGCTTTCCCCTTTGCATGGGCACGGCAAGACCCAGCAGGATCCTTGCATCTTCTCCTCCTCCTCTCGCTGCTGTCCTGCAGGCTCCCCGTGGCCTTGGCTTAGCTGCAGTAGGCTGAATTACAGGTTACACACGTGCCCTTAGCAAACACTAATACTCAGAGTAAATCAGATCCCCTGAGTTTTTGGAGTAGGAAATGCTATTTACAGTATTGCTTTTCTGAACAAAAGGCTTGAATGTTTAGAAGGGGGTTAGGCTACAGCCTCCAGTAGCCTCACTAATAATAAAGGATCTGCCTCTGTTCAGTCAGGAAGCATCCAAGTATCCCTCCTCCTTATTATATTTTTAAAATCTATTTCATCTCCAAAACTAATGTACAGCAGTATTTTTATTTTTAAGGGCTAATAATCCATTTCATATAGGCAGATGAAGCCTGGAGAAAAAAATCCCCTATAAAAAATCTAGGAATATAAAATCTTAAGAGGTTTAGAGACATTCAACTGTAAAAGATCACAGAAGATCTGTGTTATTCCTCTAAAGAATTAAATGGACCATTCGCAGGCACCCAGCCTCATATACACAGTACGTGCATGTGAGTGCTTTCCTAAAATAACCCAAGAAAGGGACAGTAACAAAAGCAACAAAGAAATGAGGTTTCCTGACTCAGTCTAGAAATGCTTATTGCCAAAATAATAAATACATGACAGCTTGGTATTTCTGTAGCATCTTTCATCTTAAAGGATCTCAAAGTGCTTTGCAGGCTGGGGCAAACAGAAAGATCATGTCTTTGCTGATGAAATGCAGCCATCTCCAGGTCAGGATGCAGCAGGCATTTGATGCTAGAAATGTACATCCTTGTTTTGAAAAAAAGGATTGCCTTCTGGTTTTGGACCTGCTTGAGGCGCTGAAGGTTGGAAGAACACTTGCAGATCAAAGCAGTGTGGTGTCCCTCCCTTGCACCTCGCTACCAGCACCAGGAACCCCTCTCTACTGTCTCTGCCAGCAGCTCAGGGCTCTTCTTTGCTTTCTGTACCCAGTCAGAACCTTACAAGGTCAAGTAGAAATCAGACTTCTAGCGAGTTTCCACCCAGGAAACTCAAACTCTCCAGCTTTCATCCTTTTCTTTGTATTTTAAAACTGAGCCACAGTTCCTCCTGTTTTCCTTGGTACAGGCTATATACTGAACCAGGGGAACATTGTTCATTTCCTCCATTATGTTTATTTTTAGCTTGGTCTATTTTTAGTGTGTTTTATTTTATGTTAGCATATGCTGGGAAATGCCTTGGCGAGTTAACAGGAAAGGTGCTACAAAATGCAGTCTGCATTGTGTTTTTATTTCCTGTGTGAGTGCCCTCCTCTGCTGCCCCAAAAGTGGGGTTAATGCATCAAGGGGAGTCTGGTTTGGATTCTTTTTATATGGAAAGTGGACGTCAGGGAGAGACAATCAGATGGAGGAGGGGGTTGTTTACATATTTTCAATTGCTAAACTTTATTCAGCAAAGAGAAGAGGGCCATTTCCCATGCAGGTTTTATTTGATTTGTTTTCTTTCTTCCAGGTGCCAAATTTACGCAGGGTCAATTTATGAACTGCATCTGTGCTGGTGTGAAAATTTGTGGGGACCCTCGGTAGAGATGCTGGTGTTTCATTTCTTTCCCTCTGGCCTAAGGTGCCCCATGGTCAGGGACGATGCACAAAGTGGATGCACCCTTACGTTGGGATCCCAAGGTCACCCCTGATGGGCTGAGACCTCCTCAGGTCAAGATGTACCTCCGTCCCCACTCTGTCCTCCCAGCCATTGTCTGCTCAGGCTCTGCTTGCACGCGTAGTGCAGCTGGCATTGAGAGTTGTCTGCCAGGATGACAGCATGTGTTGCCTGGATGTCTGTTCACTGCCTCTCCTAGGCAAATGCAGTCTCCTGGGTGCAGCATGATGCCCACCAGAGCAGGTTGTGTCTGTACTGCACTGTACTCTCTTCCTTGAGCTGGGGGAAAATACCTCTCAAGAACCAAGCCTAGGATCCTGATCACCACCTTTCCTGGGGCATGGGCTCACCTTAGCCTGACTTTGCCTCTGCCCTTGAGACCTCTCAAGGTGCCTCTCCTCTGGCATCAAAGCCTTTTGGTGTTTCTCTTGGGGGTCCCTGACTGGCTGATGGGCGGTGGTGGCCAAGGCTCTACTGTTGGACTTGATCATTCACTTCAGCTGGTGGCTTCACTGTCTGGCTGGAACATGACAAGGGAAACCCTGGGAGGCGCAGGGACAATTTTCATGGGCTGCCCCATTCTATTTGCTCTCTGCAGCCTGGTCAGCTTCTTGAGTTTAATGCTTTGTATATGGGCTTTTTTTAGGATGCTCAAGGCATCTTCTGCCTTTCCCTGAGACTAGACAGTCTCACCTAGAAAAAATATCGCCCAACACAAAGTTTTTCACCAATATGAGCTTAAGTCAAACACAACAGCTGAATGGCTTAGAAACAGAGTGCTTTGTGTCACCTCATGGAAAGGGCCACCCAGTCCGATAAATTTGTTCCAAGCGTGGCCAACCTCTGATACATTGAGGGAAGGTGAATTCCCACACAGAGCAGTTGTGTGAGGTGCAAGGTAGGTTTCCCTCCTGACCCCAGCACAGCTCCTGGTGAAATCCTGAAGCTTGATCTTGGTTCCTTATTCTCTTAACAGTATGGACATTACATGAATCACACAAAGCCTTCTGTCCTTCCCATGTCCAGTGAAGAAGGGAACAGGCGCTGGGAGACCCTGAGGTTTGCCTGCAGAGCCCTCGGTGTACTGCTGCAGCCAGCCTGCCCCTGTTCTGCCCTGCCTTCCCTAATGTCATATGCAGGCATCAGCTTTTTTCACAGAAACTGGATTAAACATGTCCTTCAGAAGCCTCTCTTATCTCATGTTACAGGCTGCAGGAGGGGATGAGTCCCACCCCCCCCCCCCCCCCCCCCCCCCCCCC